TTTAGACTTCGACACCTTGTGGACGTGAAGACAACTACTAAAGATAATGCGCGAATTTTTAAATACAATTTATATTCTACACATAAAAAGAGTAAAACTGATATTATTTAAATTAAAGAAAATGAATTTTATTTGATATGAATATTATTGACATTATTATTATTTACTAAATTATTATTAATTATGATATTTTTTTTATTAAAATAATTCAATCAAAAATTCCGTTTAAATTTCTAAATCAACTGATTGAAGGCATATTTCATTATAATTTACATTATTACGTTGATTGTAATTAACGAAATCAGATAATAATATTTATAACTATTAAATAATACAAATATTTCAAAATTATGTATGTATTTAAAAACAGTAGTCTACTTAGAAATTATAAAGTGCCATTGATTTTACATAATTCTTTACTATATAATGGACGTGAATACTAAGATGCGCGCGTCCCGCTGTGCCGCACGGGACGTTATATTTTTTTTCTCCCAAAGTTCTTGCTGTCCCATTATGAAAATTGGAGTGGTTATTCCAGGCATCATAGGCAATATGTGGAAAAAAAAATTTTTGAAATCGAAGTGGTAGTTTTTTCAAAAAATGAATTGAAAAATTTTTTTTGACTTTTTTCCGGGCAAAAAATTTTTTTTTTCATGAACTATTTTTTTCTTAAAAAAGCATCTTTTTGTGAGAAATATATAAAAAAGTTGATCTCATTTGGATAACAAGAAAAAAAGTTACATGTTTTTTTTAAAAAAAATGACATAAATTTTGCATTAGAGATATCTCAAAAAATTTTGAAAAAGTCTTTGTGGGCTTTTATTCTGTACGTATAAAAGAACATATTCACAAGGTTTCAATAAAATTGCTCCAATCATCAAAAATTCTTGTGATCACATGCCATGGAATTGATCGGAAGCTTGACTACTACCCGCGTAATCGTCATTACCGATAGTACTACTCTTGGCAACTCTTCTGCTTCCATTCGCCGGGCGAGTTTCTCGATATAAGCGGCGCGTAGTACCCGGTCCGCTACAATCGAGGCCTGCTCTCCTACGACTCCTCATCCATTTATCGAATAGACGTGGTGGAATGCACTTCTCCTCTGCTAATTCCTGCCACGTCTGAGGGTCGTCATCATCGGAGTCGAACCAGCTTGGCCCACCCATGGCTGCACCCAGGGCTCGACCATACTCAACTTCGCGCTCCCGAGGATCCTCGGACCACTCAACTCCCTGTGGTATCCGAGGATCGTTGTAGCAGTTATACCTGCTTCGTCGCATAATCAAATCGCAGTGAAATAGCACCAAAAATACGCAGTCCTTCTAAGGTCGTCGAGTGCTACCCCGCTAATCCGAATGGGTTTGCTAGCTAGACACAATTTAGTTGTACTGTCATAATAAAACCGCCCAAGGGCACTCCCGAGTACTGTACGTCGGTGAAAAGCTGAGGGAGTAGGAACTCGAGAAGCATTTTCCCAGGAAAATTCCTAAGAATTTTTCTAGAAAAATTTCTTGGCGGCCCCGTGGAAAGTCCTTCCTCAACTTTTCATTATATACTTTTATATTTGTGATTAAAATTCTTCAGCAAAAACTTAATTATTTTTTTAATATTTTACAAAAAGTCAATTTTTTTCAAAAGTTTTTACTAACTTTCTATTATTTAGAGTAGGGAAATTTTTCTATTAAAATATAATAAAAAAATCAATTATTTTAATATTTTTGGTTAGAAATGTTCAATAATTTACCTTAATAACTTCTCAAAAAAGAAATAATTCAAAAAACTACATTTAGTTACAAGTATTCTAAAAAATTTAATTTTTGTATTTAAATAATTGATTTTTCAAAGATTTTTCGGAAAATTATTAAAAGTAATTTATTTAAAGAAGAAATTTTTTTAAAAATTGTAGAAAATAATTAAATTCTGGTTGAGTTACTGTTGTAATTTTTAACGCTAATCAAATTTCAGTAGGTTTGAAATGGAATATTAAATTGAAATCTGTTTATGAAAATTAGTGAAGTTTGGAGTAATTGAATTTAGAAATCAGTGAATGATCCGAGAAATATTTATAATGAAGTTTTTGACAATACTGAATAAAATAAACGACTTTTAAAGTTTTTTTGTATCTTTAATCGACTGAAGCGATTATTTTTGTGCCTTAAAGTTGATCCGAGGTCTATTTTTTATAAAATTGAGACAATAATTGTGTTTTAGAGTATTTTTAATTGAAAAAGTATTTTAAAAAATGAAAACAAAATAAAATTTGTGTGAAAATCCCGTGAAAGTGCTAATACAAAAAATGTAGTAAATAATAATTAAATTTATTAGAAATTGGAGTTAATAAACATTTATAAGATAATTGCCAAAAACGTTAAAAGAGTTTATATTTTGACTTCATTACTCTGCTGTATTTAATATATAAAATAATATTATCGATCACTTGAATATGGGATTCAGACAAAAAGAATGGTTTTTTTACTTATTTTTGATTTAACCAGACTCGAAGGTATCGATATCATCTTGATTATTGTTTAAAACATATTTCTAAATTATTTTCATTTTTAGAAGCTCTCTTGCATATTTTACCAGAGAAGACCGCGAAGAATAGAGATGATTTTATTGAAACATGGCTTTCAAATTGTAAAGGCCGTATTTTGAGAAAAGGAAAGGAAAAGTAATTGACATTATTTACTACGAATGAATAAATTTATCATTATCAATTGATATACTTATTTAAATATGTGAAATAATATATAAAACATGATTTTCAAGCTGACCTGTCAAATAACATAATTTGCAAATTTAATCTATTAAATATGGGAAAGAAAAGTCATTTAATTGAAAAAAACCTTATCAAATATAAAGTATCTATGACTAACTTTTAGTCTTTCTTAGCACTTTCTTCCTTTTCTCTTCATAAACGTGAAATAGAAAGCAATAAAAATTGGTACTTTGCTTATTTTCATTATTTTTAAATGTAAATAACTTTCTTGGAGAAATCTGAAAAATTATAAAACTTGGGCAACATCTAATTGATCACTAACTACACACACTGGAAAAAAATTCGCTTTGGTCCCGAAGATACTTTTTGAGATAATTAGGTTTCAACTTTTCACAATTTTTATCAGGTTAATACATGTAATTTTTTAAGGACGAAGTTAAGTCTTATTATATTATATTATTTTACATATTTAAATAAGTATATCAATTGATAATGATAAATTTATTCATTCTTAGTAAATTCCAAAATTTTTTTTTCTTTTTATGGTAAATTCAAAAATCATTCCTGCAAAGTATTATAATTTTTAAAAATTAGTCAGCGACGACTTCAGTCGAAATATAATGGATTGACCCCATAATATTAGAACTTATTATTTCTAAAAACTTATTTACATATATTTTTTCTTACAACAGAAAGTTAGCACCTGCGCGAATTCAATTATAATTGAACGACAATTTTGAATATTGATTGGGGCAATGGAAGTTTCGTCGCCAATTTGAAATTCTAATTCCAAATTCCAAATCAAGATTCCAAAAAAGTTGTAAATTCTCAAAATGGGTATCATATACCAATCCTTTCTTCGTATAATGTTTGATATGAGAAAATTTCCCATTAACACGTAATTAATCTAAATTCTGAAAATGGATATCATATACCAATCCTTTCTTCATATAATGTTTAATATCCGAAAATTTACAAATAACATGTAATTAATGTTTCCAAATTTGAAAAATGATTTAATTTGAAATTTTAAAACATTTTTTAAAAATATAAAATTTCCAAATATAAATATATAATGAATATATTTATAAATAAAGGACCCCGCATAAAATACATTGAAAAAACTTTCGGTCAAATTAATTGAAACCTCAATGTAAAACTTAAAATGTAATTCTGATAAAAATATTTCTCTGACAAGGAGTCGGTTTACGGGTCCGTTTACGCACTAAAAGTATTGAACTAATAACACTTTTAGCGAGTAAATAGATCCGTAAACCGACTTTTAATCAGAGGAAAATTTTTTTCAGAATTACATTTTGAGTCTTTCCTGGAGGTTTTAATTAATTTGACCAGAAGTTTTTTTCAATGCATTTTGTGTGGGGTCCTTTATATATACATATATTATTGGGGCAATGGAAGTTTCGTCTTTAAATTTAGATTTTAATTCCAACTTTCAAATCAAGATTTTAAAAAATTTTGTAAATTCTGAAAATGGATATTATATGCCATTCCTTTCTTCGGATAATGTTTAATATTGCAGAATATTTTACAATTAATATGTAATTAATGTTTCCATCTTTTATAAAATTGTTTTAATTTAAATAAAGATATTTAAAACTAGTTTTCTGTCATACTTATAATATTATTTTATTATAACATAATTTATTACAATATTTCTAAAATATGTTGCATTATTCGCTACCAGATTTAATAATTAGCTTACCTCAACCTTTACGTGTAAACTTACCTCAAGCTTTACAGGTAAACTTACCTCAAGTTGTATGTGTAAGGTTAAGATTTGTGTTGTTGGCAGATTTATAACTAAACATTTTAATGTTATTACCCACCAAAAGCCTCCCAATACCAAGTTTTATGAAGACTCATTTTTTATAGAATGCGAAAAAAATTACCTGATACATATGAAACCTAATCAAAGTTTTACGCATAGGAATGTCTCCTACACGGTTGAGCTTCACACAATGCGCGCTCTAACAGTAAATTGTCATTTAATCTGCAAAATGATTAAAGAGGCAAAAGTGTGCAGGATTTATTCAAAGTATATACTCTAAGGAGTAATATGATACCATAAATTTATTTATATCGAGTGGAGTCTCGGGGAGTCAGCAAACGAAAGTCAAAAAGTCTACAGGGAGTTTTAAAACTAAGAATTAGTCGTGAGACTTTTGATTAATACTATTAAAGGAAGTTTTCCGGAAATTTTCAAATTGTTTCATAAAAAGATTTTTGAAACATTTGATTTTCAATAAAAACCATGATCTATTTTTCAAAAATTCATTTAATTTGAGTAGAATATTTTTCGAGTGTTTTGCATTTATTGACAAAAATATTAGACTTAATAAAAATCCAGAAAAATAAATGTTGCGCTTTTTATTTTTTATAAGCAACAGAAAATGATGCCCTAAGTTTTAATTTAAAATAATTCAGATTTTTAAGTGTTGGATTCGAGTATCACAAAAGTTAAAAGTTTCGTGGATTTGCCCATATATATAATTCAAAGTTAATTTGTGAAACTAATATATCTATCAGGCTCGACTGTAAATATGATTTTATTATATAATTCTAAGCAAGATTCACTTAAAGAAAAAAAAATGAGTTCCGAGCTTTACGTTAAGAATATAATGTTCTCATTTTGACAAACATAAAGTTAATAGTCCTTCCAATTTCATCTTATACTCAACAATGTAGTGTAAAATATTAGTTACGGCGAAGAGTCACTGCATAGTTTATCACTCTTGAGTAACGCCTAGATTCCCTTGCTGAAACAAAAAAAATTCTTAATTATAACAATTAAGTGAAGGTTTCAGAAATTGAACTGACACTCTCCTTATTTTGTTTAAGGGGGGGGGGTAGGGCTAATTCGATGTAAAAAAGGCACTTTTTTAATAATTTTTTTCGGTGACATAAAGTGTCAATAATAATAATAATAATAATCAAATTATTTTTCTTCGATCTTGTAGGGGTCAGATTCTTCTTTAAAATCCCATTTGAAATTTGAAAAAAGATTCAAAATTAACAAAACAGGAGATGATTTTCTAAAAATCATTAAAGTCAATGTTCTCAAAAACCCCACTTTTTTTTCTCTAAAATTTTTACCATAAATTCTTACCAATATGAAGAACCAATCCTAGGAGTTTCAAGCGGGCTAAACAATCCTGGTAGTAAGGAGAAATTTTTTTCGAAATATTTTTTTTTACGAAATTTGAAATGGCTGACGTGCAGTTTCAAGAACAAATGAACTAACTGAAGTGAGTCATTCTATAACCAACAATTATTTGTTGGAGTAAATGTAATTTGACAAATAGAACACTCCAATCTAATCTAAGTATTTATGTATTTGATTTCATGTAATAATAATTTGCAGCGTTTCAGGATTTAATTTGAGTGAGTTTTAGTTTCATTTTCCTTTTTATAATTTGAAAAAATATTTTTTTAATATTTGAATTATTATAAAATAAACTATCTTGAATTTTTACTTAATCAATTTATTTTAAAATGAAATTTGCAAATATTAATTTCCAAATTGAAGATTAAAACTTTAAGTTTTTTAAAAAATTTTTGAATGTATATTTTTTTATCGGCAATGGTGAACATTTAAGGGATGAAAAACACCCCTAAATTTTTTACGGAAATATAGAAATTTCACAATATAAAGAAAAATTTAATAAACAAATTTTTTTTTGCTTTATAATAATTTAGCACGAAAAATGGAATTAAACAATAGCATATTTATCACCAACCCCCATGAATTTAGGGGTAAACACCCCCAAAAATGAACTTTTCGTTCAAAATTATATAATTCCTTGCTTTATATTTTATTTTTCTGTGCAAAATAAATAGATATAAGAGTTGTAAAATATTAACAAATGTATACAAAATTTGTCCAGGGAGTATATAGGGGTAAACAACCCCTTAGAGTATATTATTTCAAATAAAAGACTATCAGAAAATAGCATATTTCGATACGCTTGCGAGGCAACGTGTATCAAACGATATTTATCTTTATAAGTGCAGGCATAACCTCGTTTGACAGCTACTTGCAGCAATTCAAAATGGCCGACTCCTTCACTGTGCGCGTGGTCGATGAGCAAAAATACTATTTTGAATAGCAGTAAGAGGTTGACAAACGAGGTTTTTACATGCACGTATGAAGAAAAAATTTATTTCTTCTGCAAAAATCATCTATATAATAAGAGGGATACTTTCTTTTCATTTGGACAATATTTTCGCTCGTTTCCATCCTTGATCGTCTATTTGTAGCGATCCGGTTTTCTCTATCTGTGTTTTGTTTTGTTCGTGTTTTGAATCGTTCAAATTTCAAAGCTGTCAAAATACTTTTCAAAGTTTCGAAACGTTTTTTGAAAAATGTCAAAAATGAAAGCACCTGACGATTTTATTCCACCAGAAAATGAAGATAATGATTCTTCAAAGGATAATGAAACAATTCAAACTACTTTTAAAAGTAAGAGAAGAAGAAATGGAGGCAAACCTCTAAATAATTATTTCAAATATTCGCTTGAAAACGGATCTAAATTTGGAAAATGTATAATGTGTGAAAATGAAAAGAAAGATGTCACTATAAAAATGCAAGATTGCAATACATCAGGGTTGAAGCGTAATTTGCAAAATCATGATCCTAACGAGTTTGAAGAAACATACCCTCAAAAAAGTGTATCAATTGAAGTAAGGGTAAAAAATAAAATTATGATAAATATTAATTTAATTAACCCCTTCACTGTTATTGACCTCTATAGACCCTGGCGGAATGTGTAAACCGAGAAGTTGACTGAGCTCGGTCAAGTTTCAGTTCGTTTGGGTTTGAGGAAATATGTTGCAAAAAATAATTGAAATATTGGTAAAATTTCTATTAGGAAAAAATAATTAAGGTTTTCTGAGTCGTTTTATGCAATATTATTAGATAATTAAACTCTTATTATTAAATAATTAACTTTTTTATAGAGTAGTGTATTTACCTGTCATGGTATACTCTATTTTGTGATTGAAAAAAAGGAAAATGAGAGAAAATTAACTTTTTTCCTATTGAATTAATATTAATATTAATTATTTTTGTTAATTTATAGGGGAGAGTAGTCAGGGTTGGACAGTGGTCAGGGTTGAGCCATCTCTCGATGGTGGTATTTTATATAGTATGAAGATATCGATCACTCCTAGTCAGGTAATAAAAGAAAAAACAGTGTCAAATTATACGTCGTGCTGACAGGAATTTTAAAATTTAACAAAGTAGATATACAGTGCTGGTTCTAGATACAGATTCCTGCACCGACATTTACCGACATTTGAAATAAAAAATGGTTCTAATCCATTCTAATCGAGAAACTTCTAAAGAGATACAAAGAAAAAAAATTTTTCCTGAAAATTCCCCAAAAACTTGTCTCCCAAAATTTGTAAATTTTTTTCAAAATTGAGAAACGAATAAGTATATTTATGAAGTACAAGTTGACATACAGAGTTTCACTATATCTCCTGATCATACGTTAAGTAGAAAATATTTTTCAAATAAATTTGGTTTTCTTAATATTTAAATAAATTGTTTAATTATTTAATAGAATAATAATTATACAGATATTATCAGAATAAGAAAACATCACCTGTTAATGTTATGAGTGGTTTTTTGCTTGGATGATAAAAATAGTTACATACATTTCAGAGAGGAATCATCTGTAGTGTAATATGAGATATGTCAGCACAATAAAATTAGAAGACATATAATACTTATTATTATTATCAATTATTATTTATTAATAATTATTATTAATTATTACAATTATTATTATTAATTATTACAATTATTATTATTAATTATTACAATTATTATGATTAATTATTACAATTATTATTATTATTAGTATTATTAACTCTCAAGATGTAATTTTTGCATGAATTTTAATTTATTTTCACATCAGAAAAATGTATGACTATAAAAGAGTGAGGAAAAATTTCTTATTACTACATTGTATTGTTATGTCCGATTATACGGTAAGTAGAAAATATTTTTCAACTAAATTTTGTTTTCTTAATATTTAAATAAATTGTTTAATTATTTAATAGAATAATAATTATACAGTTATTATTATCAGAATAAGGAAACATCACCTGTTAATGTTATGAGTGGTTTTTTTGCATGGATGATAAAAATAGTTTCATACAATTCAGAGAGGAATCATCTGGAGTGTAATATGAGACATGTCAGCATATTATATTATGTATAAACGTAGAGATGAATGAACATATGTTTTTAATGTCTGAATCATTCCCTTGGAATAAATATATATATATAATAATTAGAAAAGGAAAAAATGTATTATCTATAAAAAGATAGAGAATGAATTAAAGAAGTATAAAATGTGAGAATTAACTCTCCAGTTTCCATAAAGTCTCGGGTAGTTGATTTGTATTGAGAAGTTGTGACTGAGTGTTTGCGTTAAACATAATAGTTGTCAGTGTAAAAAAATACCATTTTAAATAATTTATATTGTGGTTGAAAATTTTAAGGAAAATGGAAGGAAAATTAAAGAAGTTAAACAGAGCTGCTAGTTTTTTACCAATCAAAAAATTGAGTGAATTGATCCTTAATGAATATTATAATATTACAGATATTAAACAAACAACAACAAAATTTGGTTTAAAAATTGTGGCTGAAATTGATAGTGAATATGTTGTCTTTCTACCACAAAGGATGGTAAAGGTTCTTGAAAGTGATACGGAATCATTTACTCATTTACAACAAGCTGCGGAGAAAGGAGAATTACAATTAAAATTTTTGGGTGGAAAATACAATTACTTTGAATTTGTATCTAAAGCAGAATAAAAAATGGCATATCTTCCTCTTAATCAATTACTTCTTTCAATCACATATAACTTAAATTCATCATATACAAAACAAGTAATTATTGGTGCCGAATTAAAGAGCAATTTATCTATAAAAATAAAGTTATTAAGCAGCCATCCTCAAACATCAGTCTCATTCTCAATACTAGAATAGAAATTTTTCAACACGTTTTATTTAGAAATGGAAGAATTTTTTTCTAATAAATCTGAACCTCGTGAAATCAACTGTGATACATTTCATCTGAATTTTGTCAGTTATTTAAATAATCGCTTTGTATTAATTAAAAATTCAGTTGAAGGAGAATTAGCATTTTCTCTGAAATTTGAAACTTATAATACTTTGAAGCAACTCAATCGCTGTGTGAAAGAAAGTGCAAGGGAAATAAAATTTTTGCCTTTACAACAAATTAAATTGAATATTATTAAAACAATTGAAGAAATTGTATATCAACGATTTGAATTACACCACCTGACGGCTTTGGAAAAATTTGTTCGGAAAAATAATTTTAAAATATTGGGAAATGTATTATTAAATAATGAATGTGAAAATCCTGTAAATATAGAAAAGCTTTTTTGTGAAATTATTACTTTTCATTCCAAGGCAATTTGTAATGAAGTTTTAACTTACATTCAAAAATTCACAAGCAAAATATCACATGAAAATTAGAAAGTAAGTATTTCTGCAGTTTTCTCATTATGTTCCTAATTTTTTAAATATAATTTACTTAATATATATTTGTTATATATGTTTCAGAAAATTCTGTCCAGAACCTTTTACAAAGTGAATTTAAAAATGAAAAAAACAATTCTAGTGAATCCTTAAAATTAATTGATTATTTCAAGAAGAAGAAGATAGATGATGATGATGATGATGATGATTGATCCAATGAAGAAAGGAATTAATTAATTA